TTTGTTTGTTTGTTTGTTTGTTTTTTGTTTTTTTTGTTTTGTTTTGTTTTGTTTAACTCTTTGCTGGTGTTTTTGGCTACGCTCTCTCAAAAATCACTTTCTTCTTATCAGACTGTCATTTTATGCATTTAGATGCAACTAAAGTTGTGAAACAAATGATGCCTCTGTGCAACAGGCTCTAACAGCAATTAAAGATAGAATTCAAAACAGGTTACTTGTAGTTATGTAAAGACAGAACACTGGTTGATCCCTTGAAATAAATGTCTTTTTTGCACTTGAATAATTCATATCTCTGTTGAAAGTAAATCCCTTTGAAAATGCTTGGTTTGAATGCAAGGGCGTAATGGCATTCACTGCTTTTATTCACATAACACTGAATCATGTCCTAAAGCTATTATAGCTGCAGTTTACACATACAGTTGAAACCAGAGATTTACATTCACTGTGTAAAAAGACTTTTTCTCTCCCTCTTTTTTATATTAAACCTTCTACTTGCAAGACACCTGAATAATAAAAGAGTGATTTTTTTTTAATTCTTTAAATTCTGAGATTTACCTGCTTTTAAACTGTATGATGTTGGTCAAATGTTTGGGTTTCCTTCAGCAATAGTTTGTTGGAATGTTGGTCGATTCCTGACAGACACACCTTTTCAGCTCCGCCCACCAATGTTCTCTGAGGCTGAGGTCACGACCTTGTGATGGACACTCCAAAACATTGACTTTGTTGCCTTCAGCCACCAGACCACATAATAGATCTACAAAACTCAACATTCTTGTCCATGAGTGCATTTCCAAACTGTAATCCACGTCTTTTGGAGATGGCTTCTTCCTCCCTGAGTGACCTTTCAGACCATGTTATGACAGCAGCTTGTTCATGAGGTTTATAGCTGCTGTTTTGGCATTGACTCACACGTTTCAGACCAAAACCTTTTCACATCTGGGACATGTCTGCTTTATGATCTGTATGATAACTGGACATTCTTGCACAAAATTGTTTGAACAAGTGAACTTTGTGGAAAATTGGAGTCAAGAAACTTTTGCCTCAGTTTTCTTCAGCCTTCTTGATACTCTACTTCTTTTGCATTTTTTATGTTGACACACAAGGCAGTGGTGTGTTTGTGGAGTTGCATTGAAACACATCCACAGGTGATCCAACTTGTAACTCAAATGTTTTGTCTCACCTCTTCATCATTATCCCTCATTAGCTAACAAATCCATTGCATTATCTGGATTTTCAAAAGGCACCGTAATCAGATTTTAACTTCATCAGGTATGTTTAGATAAAAGCAAATAGACAAAATGTTCCCTCTGTGTCTTTTTAAAGAAAATAGCAGGTATCTTTCATTTGGAACTGCTTGCACCTTTACTCTGTTTTGCTAAGTCCAATCTTCTGCTCTCTCTTTTTTTCTTATTCACTGCAGGTGACCAAGACCATCTTTGCCATTCTCCTGGCTTTCATCATTACATGGACACCGTATAATGTCATGGTACTGATATCCACCTTCTGTCAGTCCTGTGTCCCTGACACCGTGTGGGCGATTGGCTACTGGCTGTGTTATGTCAACTCCACCATCAACCCAGCTTGTTACGCACTGTGCAATGCCACATTCAAAAAGACTTTCAAAAACCTGCTGCTGTGCCAGTATAAAAATATAGGTACGAGATGAGATGAAAGAAGAAGATAAAGGGTGGGATGGGAGGGGAGGGTTATGGGAGGGGGAGATGTAAATCACGTCAAAGGAGGAACAGAGGAAACACTATAAAGGTGAGTGACAAGAAGACTGGATGAATAGAAGCATAAAAGTGTGAAATTTAACAAGTTCTGGCATATGGCGGGGGATATGCATCTATTTATTCTGCAAGTTAAAGCAAACAGGCGAGAAAGCTCCCCAGCTTCCCTTTACATGGATCCACAGAGTGGAAAAGCTGCTACAGCAGTAAGACAAAGTGAATGTGGGCTGGGAAAGAAGGAACAAGTGTAAAGTGCGGAGACCAAGAATGGAAATGAAAGCTTGTAGAGGTAAAACTAAAACAGAGCAGCGGTAGTGGCGCTGTTCAGATTTGAGTGTTTTCATGTAACACTTTGGATATTCTGTCATTGCCCCCATGATGAATTATTCTCCAGCAAAAATCCCCACAAAGTCATGCGTTCAAGTTCTGATGTAATGTGAACTCTATTATATCAAAGTACTGAGGGCAGTTGTGTGGGTAATTGGCCACTGGCTGAGTTGTGACAGTTCAACTATCGACCCAGACGGGTAAAAGTTGGTGCAGAATCATTAAAAAGTTCTTCTTGATCCTGCAGTTGATCTGAAATCAGCTATTTGTACAGAAAGGAAACAAGAGATGGTTTAAAATAAGGGAAAACAGGTAGCTGTGCTTCCATTGACCATATAATTGCACAAATATGACATTTCAAAAATAAATTTGCTTAATAGAAACATGCCAATTTTAAAAAAAACAAAACAAAAAAACGCATTTGTTTCTTGATTAAAAAAAACATTTTAGCACTAGGATGAGGTGGTTTTTTTGGCAGTATTGAAATTGGTTTATCTTGCAAAACTGCAATGGAATCACTTTTTTTCGTATCACATGTGTCACATGAGCAACAACTGTATGTTGCCACTGGAGCAAACCATGAAGAAGAAGAAGACAGGAAGTAGTTGGAGGATCATGATGCAGCATGTTTTAATGAACAAACTTAATGTGTGATTTTAATTGTGTTTTTTATTTTATGGAAACACTGCAATTGTGCAATTTTCTTTACTTTGACATTAGTGGAATATTTAAATTTATACATTTATAATGGAAACTCAGGAAGAGGCTTCACACTCCAGAAATAAGTTTCAGATTTAACAACTATTGAGACATAACTGAAATATCCATAGTAAGTTTCAATAGAGTCTGGTCGGGTCCTGCTCAGCGATTAACACTAGAAATGTTTTTAGTGAGGGTTTAGAAGCTGAAGCTAAGGTTCTCTATAAGGTTTCTTACTCCTCTCATGAGTAACTCCAAAGATTTTCCATTAAGTAACCCAGACACGTTTTAGCCGTAACATAAAGGAATTTCTCTGGTCTGTTCACGACAAAGTCAGCATAAGCGCCGTGTTCCGTATGTGACCCACTGGACAGATGAGAATGTTAAGAGGAGAAAAGAAAAAGTGTTTCAGGAAGTCTCGGAGTACGCTGGAAATGAGGCCATCAGTGACTGAACCTGGGGCAGAAAAGAAAGGCAGCTCTGCATATCACTGCCTTAGAATCATATTCTACCTGATCATGGTGATAAGTTTGTCACTTGGAAAGAGAGAGGACATTCTGGTGTTTAATATTTCTTTAATTATGGATAATATATTAATTTAAATCCACCTGATTAGCACCAATATGTTAATGATTTCTAAATATCACTCCTGCTAATATTAGTGTTTAGCTGTATTAGCCCCTTTGAGTAAATAAATTTTTAATATTTTTAATACATTTTTAATATTTAGTTTTGAGATTTATTGTAAATATCTCAGTAAATAATTTTTTTTCAATCCTCCAGTTAAAGTAATTGTATTTCTTCTGTCATCAGAAGAACTACAGTGTTTAGAACAGCTTTTTTTAATCCTACCGTATAAGGTTAAGAAGGATTATATTTATAATTCAAACGGCCACAACACATATTAAGTCTTTATATTTGAAGATCTAAAAGTCCCAACTTGTGCAGACATCATTTCTGTAATTATTCCCAGTAGCTAAACATTACATGATAAGAGATAAATAATATGTCTATATCTTTATTTATTTGGCTTTGTGTTGGATGGGCAAACTGTTCAGGATGTAACCTCGCCTCTCTCCAGCTAATCGGGCACAGGCAGTGATAGATGGACAGAGGTTTTTATTTATTCCTTATACACTCCCCTTCTATTGCCACCCTGAGAATCTGCCAAGATTGAAGAAAAGACGCAGAGAAGGCAATAATGTTGTGACAGTGAGCTAACAACGTATTGCTGGTGCTGGTGCTGGTATTGGAGCAAGTGTTGGAGGATTGTACAAGTCTTTATTGGCTGCTGCTGATGGCTAGGACTGCCTCTGGTTTAAAAATCTTTTTCAAAATCTGAATTACAGGTTCAGATAATTTCATACTGCTCACAGATTTGTTAAAACTCCTTTTCTGACTTGCTAAGTCTTAATTCTGTCGTTTTTGGGGGTGTTTTGTACTTTAACTAGACGGATCATACACCACCTGCTACATTAGACAATTTGAGGTTTGTGATATGTTTAGCTGTGTTCACCATTGTGGATTTCCTCTTGTGCTGTGGAAAATCATTTTCGTCTTACACATTGCATTAGTTTTTGCTTTTCCTATCAGATCTTTAAAACCCCTTAACTGCCACCTTCGAAACATTTGCATGTTAGTCAGTGGGTCCATAACAGGGGTGGGCAATCCTGGTCCTGGAGGGCCAGTGTCCTGCAGCTCTTAGACGTCTCCCTGGTTCAACACACTTGAATCCAACAGTGAGTCACCTCCTCAGTGCAGTCAGGTTCTCCAGAGTCCTGCTAACTACATTATTTGACTCAGGTGTGTTGAAGTTGAAACACATCTAAAAGTTGCAGGAGACCGGCCCTCGAAGCCTGGAGTTGCCCACCCCTGGTCCATAAGGACTTCAATGTCCTCATGACAGTTAAAGGGTTAAACTAAGGTAAATATTAGAGTAAAAGGAAATTTGGCTTACTCTGCTTTGTTGGTATTTGTGTTCAACCAAAGTGAAATGTTAGCAAACATCAACTTGTCTGAGGTCAGCCCCATCATCTCAGCTGGACTTAAATTTGGTCTTTGACTAGGCCAATTGAAATCTGTCAGTAGTTTTTCTTCCAGTTTTTGTCTGTTTTAAAGGTAAAATTTCTTTGTAAAGTCTTTTACTTTAAATATTTTTTTAAAAAGCAGCTCTCAAAAATTGCTTTTGTATTTCAAAAACATCAAAACCTATTTGATGGGCTGAGACCTTCAAATGTCAGCAGCAACAAAAAAACTCAACAAAACAGATTCTTCAATTCTTCAATCCTTTTTTATCCTTTTTAGAGGCTATAAGTGGAGTTCTGCTTGAATTCTTCTCCTCTCTACCCTCTCAGACTGGATCATTATTGTGAGATTGAGTTCGGTAGAAGTTCTCTCCACTATAAAGCTTAAAAGCTCAATTGATGAGCTTGACAGTGACGCTGCTCAGGCTTAGCATAATAGCAGATGGCTGCAGATTGCCGTCTGTCTTAGAAACAAAGAAGAATTCTTCTCCCAGGAGAGAAGAGGAAGGAACGGTTCCAGCTGCTACAGATTCATTGATGTATCTCTCTGATGCCACCCTCACAGGGCGAGTGAGTGAGCTTATATAACTTGCCAGTGGGGAAGGCACCAACTTTAAGTAGCAAGGGCGAGGTGGCTGAAGTCACTCTGTTTATTGAAAACAGATCAGGATAAGCAACAAATTTGAGAGGAAGTCAGAGGGGGAGTGATGACTACAGAGGGAGGGAGATTTGCAGGCAGGTGGATTAGAGAAAGTTGCTGCTTCTTAAAATCCTACCAGCTAACAAATCATGACAATTATAGAGCTTCATTACGATATTTTTCAGAATAAGAGGAGAACTGAAGTGAAAGGTGGAAGAAACCCTGAAGGAGTGTGGAAACAGGTTGTTTCTGTTTTGGGTCGAATCCTGAATCCTGTTTCCTCATTTCCTCATCATTCTCAGACCTTAGCCTGATTCTGAGAGGAAACGTCTTTCAACTGCTAATCATACAAAAACACTTTGTAAATATTAAAATTTTAATGAGAAAATTATCACTTTGATGTATTACCTAACGTTATGTTTTTGGCATATTATCTCTGGAACTGACATTTGATCTATTGTCAATTTTGAAAAAAAAATCTTCTTAATTTAAAACATTTACCATTGCAGCAACTAGTGGAATTTGTAGTTCTTACAGAATGTGTATTTTGTAATACATTCTGACCAAGGTGATTTTTTTCACCTCAGTAAGAAAATGTTTGGCTCTAATAATTAAATGTAACAAAAGATCATTAAGACCATAATATGTAATAACTAGCACAAAATGTAATGAAGTCATAAAATGCATTTTGAGTCGTTTTGCCCTGAACAACATAAGTTAGTACCAGCAGCTCTTTCTATGATTCTGAAAAGATAACTACATGAGCAAAAGTTTGGCATTTATTGACAAAACTTTAAATAACATGACTGTTATTAGAAGAATAATGAGTAGGATGAAGATAAACAGTTTATGATTGTTTATTACATAATGTGCCACATTATTACATTATCATTTTTAAATAAGAGCTACCGTTGCATTTTGTAATAATAGTCACAAAATGTAACATTATTACATAATGCAGGAGAAGGTATTGCAAAATATGTTCAAAGATTTTATTACATATTCTGTCGATTATTACATAATGCTGCGCTACACAGTGTTACCAAAGCTGTTTGTTTAACAAATAGTTAAATTGCCAATATGTAATTTTTCTTCAAACTTCAGTCTTCCAATCCAAAAGCTGATACCAAGCAATTATTGATAGCAGAATAAAGTGTTGGAGGATTGTACAAGACTTTTATTGGCCAAATCTTCTGCTGCTCACATGTTCATCACAAATCAGGGTTTAAAAATGGTAAAAGTAATAATCAATCACAAATATCCTCCAGTGTTAGACACTCCAGTGGAACATTTAACCACATTCTTAATGAAGGGATTGGGATAGTCCTAGGAAATGGGATTCAGGAAAATTGTCCAACATCATTTTAATCGATTCTTTAGAACTTTGATTTGTATTATATCTGTTGCTTTGGCAAAAAAAAAAAAAAAAACAGGAACCAAATATCTGTTAAACTTGGCTTTTCTTCTCAGTCATTCATTCATATTTTTGAGATGAGCTAAGTAGTCAAAAGAAGATCCCAATTGTTGAACAGCCCTGGGCTGCTGATGTGAAAATGTTGGCACATCTGACTGAAGGAAGCTCAATGAGATCCAATAGAAGAACTGGTTCTGATGGAGAGTGAATGAGTCAAGGAGCCGCTTTCTCAGATCACTTTAGTTACCTTAATTAATTCAGTTTGATACATCCTAGCAAGAAGGCAAACTAGCTCATTGCTTTGTCCCAGGAGCCAATCGTCACCAGAAACGGGTTTGTGATTAGCTCCGGTTCTAGTCGCCATGACTGAATCTGGCGTGACAGGATGTCACTCAGGACGCCTTCATCAGAGACAGAACCGAGGAGCTGGGCTCAACAGATTCCTTCTGTAATTTAAATAGTGATGAAGTGAAAGCAGGAGACTGATTTCCCTAATATGGCTGAATCACAAGGAGCTGAGTCGGCTGCTTTCACTTTAATCCTTTATAAACCCGGCAGTGCAGCAGAGCAAACAGACAAATGTGAGGAGAATCCAACAGCACACAGAAACTCGTTT